ATGATTCAATGATGATAAGTAAATACCGAAGTATGAAAATTCACAAATAGAAGTGATGGACTAGTGTAATGAATTAATGGAAATCATCCAACAAGTGTTTTAAAAATCAATAAGGCTTTAAATAAAGCGAGTGAAAAGCATGTGACTTCTTGGTGGTGACAAATTGTATCTATCAAATGAATCAATCGTTGGCTAACTATACTTTGATAAGTTACTAAGTCACATAAAATGAAAAGTCAAGACATATAAGTCTTAGATGTGACTTAAAAAGGAAATTAGCAAAGATGGAATAATTTCTGTAAAGACGTAGCGGATCCTTTAATTAGACCACTAAATAAAATTTTAGTGGCATCTACTTTGAGTAGGATGGGGTTGAAACTCCTAAACTATAAAGGTCCACCAATGATGGCAACCCTACCCGTCATTACTCAAAAGGTAATCCATAGGTTCAAAAGGTAACAACAAGTTATTCGATATGTGGATAGTTGCAGCATTATATAAATCCGAGATAACATTATCCTAATTAAATAATGTTGGTTGTTACTAAAGTGAGGGTTGAGTATTAAGACTCTTAATGAAATTCAGTGTTAAAACAGAAGTACCTCTAAAAGTAACAAATGTACTGAAAGAACTTCACCTAAACAAACTTCGAGGTGATGCCGCCTCAATTGAGAGTTGGATTTTCTCTCTTAAAAGTTTGTTGAATAGGATGAGCGCAAGGCCATAACAGCGCTAAACGAGTTGAGGAACTTGAGAACACATAGTACTCATGTGTGTGTTCTTACCGGTATTGTCACATGGAATAACTGGTTCAAAGCTACGGCTATCTTTGATTCTAACTTTACTTTGTTTGAATTACACTATGGTTAGATTCAAATTGAAAGATATCTAATCCTTAGCCATGGGTATCGTATACTTTGAATATGAGAGTTTATTGAATTTTGAATAAGTGGGGGATTGATGGAAATTGTTGTTCAAATAATCAATAAACAAAGAATGTGGAATGAAAATGGAACGAGTGTGGAATAAACGGAAAGAGGCTGCCATGGTCTTTGGTTTAAACCATGCGATCACACAGGCTTAATGTCCATGCGGTCACATGGGCACCTACAGAATTCAGAAGGCTCAATGCAGTTGAACCATGTGACCGCATGGCTTTGTACCATACGGTCGCATGGTAGTCACGAGAAGACCGTTTCAGGCAGTTAGACAGTTTTGCTGCTATATTTTTTGGCGCCTTTTCACTAGTATTGGCACCACTTCGTGAAGCTATGATTCATGGCTACAAATATGTGTTTGTTGGACATAAAAAACACATGGAAATCAGATTACAAAACATATGATAATCTGTCATCATTCCACAAGAAAGAAAAATCATTTCTTCCTCCACATTCATATATTCCCTTTATGTTTTTCAAGTTCGGGTGGAGAAATGCTTGTGTTTTTGTGTTTCTCTACATCAAGGCTTGATCAATCCTTCAAACCGTTTGCCGCGAGATCCTTTAAGCACCAACATTAATACCAAGAGGGGGCAAATATCGTTTGAGGACAACGATGTAACGTCGTGTTTGAGCTTTCCATTTTAGTCATGATCTTGATTCATTTTTTCATCCTCTTGATTAATTTTCTGCATTCTCCAACCCCGGTGGTGAATAATTTCCCAACAACAACCACCTCCAAATTTCTTGGTGCATTTGCTATGATATTTGGATGGTGCTAGACAGAATTAAGAGATGACCCATGTTGTAAAATTTTGTTTCGCAAGTATACGATCCATAACAAGTAATAGTAGACCTAAGAGTCCGGATTTTCGATTCCACAAGGACTATTTTCTAGCACTTAATTCAATTTTTGTTTTACTATTTGACTAAAACAAATTATAAGTTGTAAAATCTAAGTTTTATTCTAAATTTTAGAAAATAAGTAGATGTTCACATGATTGGTTGGAGAATCAAATAATGAATGGATGTTAGAGCAAAATAACTTCACCAATTGATCACATTTACATCTCAAATTAAAACTCAATTCTGATGTAGTGTTCGGTCAAATTCTTCTATTGTATTCAATTTATCCATCTCGAGTTCTCATTGAACCTATTCAACTAATTAAATTTCATATCTCTATGCAAATTCAATTTAGTTAAATGAGTTCTATGTCCTAGGAATTCAATTATGACTACAATAAATGGTATAGATATCTCTATTCATTATACCAATGTACTGAATTTTACTACACGGTCTAAATCCTAAACTCATATCTCTATTGTAAAGAATTCACAAAAATCATCAAATTATTGATAAGATAATTTAGTGCATTCAACTCATAGCAAAATCAACACATGAAAAAATTAAAAATTGAGAATCTTTATAAGAGAATGTAAAGGATCCCAATTGGTTACATCATTCCCCCTAACAATGAATTTAGTTACTCATAATGCAAGAAGGGAAATTGTCTTAGAATATATCACTGGATTTGTAATAAAGATGTAGAAGAAAAAGTAGAATTCTTGCACCAAGATCTCATTCCCTTTCCAATGAATGCTTATAATCTTCAATTGCTTGGTGTTAATCTTCTTGAATTTTTTTTTTGAATCTTCCTTTTTGTTTTCTTGTCTTCAATGTGTCAAGAACCCCTCAAAAGTATGAGAAATATGTCTTTATAGGTGCCCCTCCATTTTGTTTAGAAGTAGAGTTTTTATGAATTTTAAAACGGCCCAAAAATGCGCTCTAGACACTTAGTCACAGCGCCTAAGCGCTATGAGTTAGCGTCGCGTTAATTTAATCACAGCGCCTAGGCGCTGTCTCTTGGGTTTAAATTTCATCTTTTTTTCAGTTTCGTAGCGCCTAACAGCGCCTAGGCGCTATGAATGCAGCACCTAGGCATTGTCTTTCTGCTCCAATTTCATGTTTTTGGCCTCTTTGTCCATTTTAATGCCTCTTTTCTCATCACCTCTCCTAATCTTCAAAACAATACTAACAAACACATTAAAAACGTTTTATACTCACAAGATCTAGCATTTAATCAAGCTAAACTTGTGCAAAATTCATGAGTGAAACAAACTCTTCAAATACCCCCAAAGTTAACCGTTTGCCAGTCCTCGAGCAAACAAACACATCAAACAATAAAATCATCCAAGAATGATACACGCACAACTAATTAGTTAGACAGCTTGTCTTTTTGGCTCAGCATTGATAACATTAATATTGTTGAATGGTGTTAAAATCACAATGCAAGAACCAAACTTTCACTCATATAATGCGAAGCGGGGGTGTGTGGAGGGTTAAGCGTAGCGCCGTACATTCACAAGTTGGTTTACTTCCCACCCCTCAATGGTCAATTATTTCCTTTATTCACTCGAAAGATTTACACACCCCCAAACTTGGTTATTTTATTCTCTTACCATGGTGTAATTCTAAAGTTCAGTTTTGCTTAAGATTTTCTCACACCACTCTAATTTAGGTTAGTTCAACCGGCAATGTCAACAATTCATTCATGTAGTGATTCTCTCAATTTATGAGTGTTTCAACAATCTAATTTATATTTAGTAATTCAAACCCACTAGTTATCTAGGCCTCCAAGATCATTTTTTTTATTCATTCATTTATTTATTTACCCACCTTTTTTTCACTTCTTGACCCCTGTAGCGAATGCTAGGTTGGTAACTCCCCGATTTTTTGTATACCAAAGGGTACCAGGTTTCAGGAGACCCATACGGACTTAATAACTCAAGTAAAAAAGGTGCACGTATAAGACTTAGCTAAATACGTGCAATACTTCTTTTCTTGTAAAAAGAAGCAAAATTTATAGATGTTAGATTTCTAGCATTCGGTTATCACCAAGCTTATACCAGAAAATTAAATACACTCCACACAATCTTTTTCACATGCACGGAATCACCACAATCTTAAATCATTTCTTTCGTCGGTTAGAATGCCCCAAATTATAATGTACACGGTTAAGGGGTATTGACATTCATGGGTTAAGGAATTACACACCTAAGTCATCTCTTTAGCCTATGTGTATGAACCATCATGTTCCCGTACGATGCTCAACTTAATACTTGTGCATATATATTATACCACTTCATATGGATAGGCAGACAGTCCAATTAAAACATATGATTCATCCACAATCCATAAACTAATACATGCTCTCAAATATATTCATCATAGCTGACAAGACTATCTAACTCACACAAGCATGCAGAGTATGAATTTTTTATTTTTATTTTTTGAATAAAAACACAAACACATAAAACAAGCAAATCACACATAAGCATTCGAGAAATTCAACAATTTAAGCAAATGATGTCACTCCCCCAAACTTAACTGAAACATTGTCCTCAATGTGAAATTTAAAGGAAAAGGAGGATGACTTCCCTGAAATGTTAGTATTGCCTATGATGTCATGGTGTCTTGGTGTTGCATTTGATCGACTCTTCTTCTACATTCTCCCCCAAACTTGAAATTTGTCCCATTTTCTCCATGTCCATGTTGGTTTGAGTGTTCCGCGACGTCATGTTCCTGAAAAATTAAATTTGAAAAATTAAACTCGTGGAACAAGGATTACTTAGCTCGAACATCTAATAACCAACTTAATTACTCCAAGACCTATGGGTAGAAGAGGTATGGGTGACGATTCCTAAATAAACTATAAATTAAACTATCCTAGAACTTTGAAAACAAAATAAAATAAAAGTTTGGGTTGCTTCTCAAGAAGCGCTTCTTTTAAGTCATTAGCTTGACTTGTGCCGCTGATTTATAATGGTGGCTCAAACCAAGTTATTCCATCATTGCACTTTGTGCAATTTTCATTGATGAGCGCTTCTTTTAAGTCATTAGCTTGACTTGTGCCGCTGATTTATCATGGTAGCTCAAACCAAGTTATTCCATCATTGCACTTTGTGCAATTTTCGTGGATGCGGTCCTTTTTTGCTCTCCAAATTTTGATTTGTCCATTCTTATCTCTACCAAGAAGTTTTCCAAAAAAATTTTTTTGTTCTAACAGCTTCGTTGATCAGGTCGCTCTTCTTTATCAATTCTACAACAATCATTTTTATTGGGAGGTTTCTCATATTTGATGTAAATATTAAATATCTCCTGCTTGTCCTCTACCCTCAAGATTAGTTCTCCCTTCTCCATGTCAATAAGGGTTCGTCCCGTTGCTAAGAATGGTCGACCAAATATAATTGGAATGTCTCGATTTTCTGGTATGTCCAATATAATGAAATCCACAGGAAATATTAAATTTCCTACTTTTACGAGTACATCCTCAACTTTGCCACGTGGCCTTGCGATTGTTCTATCAGCTAGTTGTAGCGTTATTGATGTTGAGTTGACTTCACCTAGCCCCAATTTCCTGTAAGCAGAATATGACATTAGATTGATACTAGCACCAGTGTCACACAATGCATTAATTGAATAGGAATTTTCAATTGAAATTGGTAAAATAAAACTCTCTAGATCCTTCAATTTAGGAGGCAATTTTCTCTGGACTCTTGTATTACTTTCCTCAGTTAATGCCACGGTTTCAAACTTCGAAAGCTTTCTTTTCTTTGTCAACATCTCTTTCAAAAATTTCGTATAACTTAAAATTTGTAGTATCGCATCAATGAATGGAACATTGATCTGGAGCTTCTTGAGAACATCGAGAAATTTTTCATAGTTTGTGTCTTGTTTGTTCTTCTTGAGATTTTGAGGAAAGGGAATGAGAGGCATGGAAGCTTTGTCTAGACTTGGTGCTTTGGTAGCTGATATTTCTGTACTTTCTCCATTTTCAGTTGCATTTGGTGCAGATTTTTCTACCCTTGTAGCTTCATCAATCACGTCTTGGTCATCTTTTCTTTTGGGTCTCTCTATAGTGATCTCTGGCGATTATACCTCGCTCTTTGTATTTATGACATGAATATCTTGCACCATCGACTTCTTTCGAAGTCTTTGGGGAAACAGAAGTGGAGGTACATATGCTTTAACTTTTATGGGGGCTCTGGATGGATCGTTCTCCACTACTTTAAATGCCATCAACTGTTCCTTAGGATTTATCATTGTATTGCCTGGCAATGTCCCTTGTGGACGTTTTGCAAGTTGTTGTGCTATCTGACCAATTTGTGTCTCCAGTTTCTTGATGGATGCCTGCTGATTTTGAAAGTTCGTGTCAATTTGCTGGAACACCTTGTCCGTCTTCTGCACATATTGTTGAAACATCTGCCCCAAACTTGGTCTTCTTTCTTGTTGAAAATTGTTATCATATGAGTTGAAATTACGGGAGCTATTTTAAATAAAGTTTACTTGTTCCTCCAAAGAAGTGAGCATTATGCAGCTCTTTGTAGCATGATTTCTCCCACAATCCTCACATGCTGAACTTGCCATCATTGCATTTGCTCCATGTGTTTGCAATTTTACAAGTAACTCTACCTATTTTGTTAAAACTGCTATCTGTGCATTGGTAGATGTTGTGCTATCTAATTCACACATTCATGCTGCCTTTGGTGGAACCACTCTTTCTGATGAGAACATTAAATGTGTGGTGGCAATTAACTCAAATAGGTCCATGGTTTGTTGCACTGATTTCCCTACGATTGATCCACTAGCAGAGGCATCAACTTGAGATTTTGACAGTGGTGTAAGTCCGGTGTAGAAGTACTGTACTTGGTTTCCTTGAGTGATTTCATGGTTTGGACATTTTTTCATCAGCTCATTAAATCTATTCTATGCCTCGTGATAGCTTTCTCCCTCTTTTTGTTGAAAAGTTTGAATTTTCAATCTGATTTTAGCTACTCTGGCTGGTGGGAAGAATTTGTTGCAGAATTTTCTGGTCAGTTCTTCTCATGTAGTAATGCTGACATGAGGCTCCACATCTAACCACTCCAATGCAGCATCTCTCAATGTAAATGAAAATAGTCGTAATTTAATAACATCTTCATTGACCCCTGAAGCATGGAAGTTTTGATAATTTTTGAGAAATCTAGAGATATATGTGTTCGGATTCTCATGAGGTAGCCCGTAGAATTACAGAGTGTTGCTCATCAAGATAATCCAATTTGGCCTGATCTAAAAGTTATTCACCCCAAAATTTGGATACACAATACTGGAGCGTATGAGTGCTGCTATAGGTGTCAGGAACATTGATACTGGCAAATGACCTTCATTTATTTCCCCTCGCTCATGCTGCTGTTCTGGTGGTGCCACCACTCTTGCGGCCATTTGTCCAATCGGTTGAATATGGATATGAATTTGTTGATTGTCAGCCATTTGATGTTGTTGTTTTTGTTTGTGTTCTTTGCGTCTTCGTCTGAAGGTACGTTCTATCTCCTAATCAAACGATTCAAGATCGTCGCCTTGGACACGGAGCATACATGATACAACGAACACAATTTTCTATAAATAAAAGAAAAATAAACAAATCAAAGAATAGTTAAAATAAAAAAAATAAATTAAGACTAAAAGAAATAGTCTCTAGCAACGGTGCCAAAAACTTGTTGTAAAATTTTGTTTCGCAAGTGTACGACCCGTAACAAGTAATAGTGGACCTAAGAGTCTGGATTGTCGATCCCACAAGGATTATTTTCTAGCACTTAATTTAATTTTTATTTAACTACTATTTGCTAAAACAAATTAGAAGTTGTAAAATCTGAGTTTTAATCTAAATTTTAGAAAATAAATGGATGTTCACACGATTGGTTGGAGAATCAAATAATGAATGGATGTTACGGCAAAATAATTTCACCAATTGATCACCTTTACATCTTAAATTAAAACTCAATTATAATGTAGTGCTCGGTCGAATTCTCATATTGTATTCAATTTACCTATCTCGAGTTCTCATTGAGCCTATTCAACTAATTAAATTTCATATCTCTATGCAAATTCAACTTAGTTAAACGAGTCTTACGTCCTAGGAATTCAATTATTACCGCAATAAATGGTATAGGTATCTCTACTCGTTATACCAATGTACTGGATTTTACTACACAGTCTAAATCTTAAACTCATGTCTCTATTTGTAAAGAATTCACAAAAATCATCAAATTATTGATCAGATAATTTAATGCATTCAACTCATAGCAAAATCAACACATGAAAAAAATTTAAAACTGAGAATCTTAATAAGAGAATGTAAAGAATCTCAATTGGTTACATTATTCCCCATAACAATGAATTTAGCTACTCATAATGTAAGAAGAAAAATAGGAAATTGTCTTAGAATACATCACCGAATTTGTAATAAAGATGTAGAAGAAAAAGTAGAATTCTTGCACCAAGATCTCCCCCCCTTCCAATGAATGTTTCTAATTTTCAATTGCTTGGTGTTAATCTTCTTGAATTTCTCTTTTGAATCTCCCTTTTTGTTGTCTTGTCTTCAATGTGTCAAAAACCCCTCGAAAATATGAGAAAGATGTCTTTATAGGTGCCCCTCCGTTTTGCGTAGAAATAAGATTTTTATGAATTTTAAAACGGCCCAAAAAAAACGCGCCTTAGACACTTAGTCGCAGTGCCTAAGCGCTACGAGACAGCGCCTAGGCGCCGCGTCAGTTTAATCACAGCGCCTAGGTGCTATGATTGCAGCGCTTAGGAGCTGCCTCTTGGATTCAAATTTCATCTTTTTTTCAGTTTCGTAGCGTCTAAGCACTATGAATGCAGCGTCTAAGCGCTGTCTTTCTGCCCCAATTTCATATTTTTGACCTCTTTGTCCACTTTAATACCTCCTTTCACATTGCCTCTCCTAATTTTCAAAATAACACTAACAAACACATCAAAAACGTTTTATACTGACAAGATCTAGCATTTAATCAAGTTAAACTTGTGCAAAATTCATGAGTGAAACAAACTCATCAACGCACTTGTTTAGTTTAATCTTGTTGAGTTCAGTATAGTTCAATGTATCGAATATGACATTACTACCTTTGTATGCATGAGATAATATCCAGCGCGATCATTGACATGTTAACTTCCTGAATATAAATTGATGTTGAAAGAAAGTGATTATTGAAGAAAGCTGTGGCCAAAAATAAGTGGACTATAAATTATAAACATGTGCTAATAAGTTGCTTTCATCTGCAAGGTTTCAAAATTCTTGTGGATTTCCGACTTTTATTTGCTCGTGTATCTTCAATTTCAACCAACGGTAGGAGTTTAAAATATTGATCCAAACGTTTAAATTTCTTTCAAACATGTAAAAGGAAGATTGTTGGATTGAGTTTTCTAACCATCTCATCATAAAATTAATTGGTATTTGGTGAGGAAAGTCTAAACTTTTTAGGGCTTTGAATTACCATTATTTGAGTGATATTATTGCTTCCTCCAACAAGAATTGTAGGGCTCATTTAGTAGAGTTTTTGTTTTTGTTTATACTTCTTGAAGATGAGATTCTTGAGAAAGTTACTTTAGTTGGTTGCTGAGATTTGAAATTAATTTTTAAAAGAGTTTCTCTTCATAAAGCGTTTTTAGAGAATATCATATTAGTCCATCTTCCTTTAAAAATTCTTTTAGTTAAAAGAAAGGTTTTAATGAATTCAAAAGTAGCTTTAAAATCTCAAAAAAAAAATTAAAAAAAAATAAATTGATTTTTCAAAAATGCCAAACTATTACTTAATAGATAAGATATGAAGTTTTTATTGCAGTTCGATAAACAATATGTGACCATGATAAAATTAAAAACTCATACAACCGTTGTGACATCCACGTGGGACTTAAAAGGAAAGAAAAAATAAAAAGACAATCTAAGGAGGCGTCAACGTGGAAGTCTTCCACCTCACACTTTTTGCAAGCTCTAGTGGAATTTAGACTGATCAAATTTAAATAAAAAGCTAACTTTAATGACTGTTGTCAAAGCAGGCCCCATTTGACCACTTTATGTCTCATCAAATTAAATTAAAATTTTTTCTTTATTTTATCATCAAATACACGAACTTTAATAAAATAATATTATATGTAAATTGAAAATTTTTCATTTTTTTACAACTGTCCATTAAAAAAAAACAAAAATCCCCCATTATAATCAAAATTAATGGGGGCCAAATAGAGACTAAATTTCACATAAACTTCATTGCAAGTCGAGTTACTAACATTGGTGTTAGAAACAAACCAGATATCAGAATAGCTCTGATATGAATTGTTGAGAATTAGAGTCAAATAATTAAAGAATGAGAAAAAGAGCAATATGAAGAATGTTTGATCACACAACAATACAAAATTTATGGGGAAGAAGAGAATTTCATATACCAAAAAATTAAAATTGTGTTTATAAGATTTGATACTTTTAATATAAGTCTGAACAATTTTCTCAACTTTTTAATTTATACAGGAATGATCTAAATGTTATGTTGAACCTATGAAGAACCTAAACCTCGTGGAATATACATAGGAGTCAAATCTTAAAGTTATGGATGAAGTATAGATCAAAAATCGAGGTAGAAATCAACTAGGAGACCTCCTATCTTGTCTAGGTGGCGTCGCACCACGCCACACTTGGCCCCCTGACTCCCAGCGACCACCTTGCTGCTTCCTCTTGCATCTATGGCGCTTTGACTCTGTCCTTGAGTTTCCTCAACACCTCTTCATCAATCCCAAAATCCTTATCCCAATCAAATTCCCATTTCATGATAAAATTTGATCTTTTATCTCTCTTATCTGGCTTCCTCCATGAATCAAGCTGCCAAATCACACGAAATTTGAATCACAACCTAACAGTTGATTTTTACACTACAAAATTACAAAGTCGAGAATTCATTTAAAAAAATAAATTAAACTTAATATTCAAGTGTCATTGAAATAAAAATTAGGGATCATAACAACAATTTTCAACGTGTAATTATTAGTTGGCGTGTCAATTTATGTACCATAAACCACAATAAATTATGCCCCCGGCCCTGGCTTATTCTTCACACCAGCAGACACAGCCGTTTAATTCACTGGGCTAGCCCCTCTCCAAACAACACAATAATCCACAAATTTATTTATAAACTGGATGAATTGAGCCGCTCCATTCATTCACCATAAAACTCGACTCAACAGTCTCGTCAATCAACTTGTTCTCGCTTGTGAAACAAATCGAGTACGAGCTAACAAGTGATTTGGTATTTTGCCACTAGCGAGCCGACGTGCGAAAACCAAACTTAGCACCCTACTATACTCAAAAGAATTAGAAAATGTTTGGTGGGGATTAAAATTAGATTTTAGCTTATTGGGATAAAAAAATTTGAAATACATGGTTGAAAAGTTGTGAAATCCACAAAATGTGTAATTATTATTGATTGTTTGATTTTAACTTAAATTAAAATTCAATTTTAGTTCAAGCAAAACAGCGCTTATCTTTTTGTACAATAGTGGCTGACAAGGTTTGTTGACAATAGTTGATGTAGCAAAATTTAGATGGTGATTTAAAAAACAGTTTTCAAAATTTTTAAAATAGATTAATGTGACAATGATAAACATAATTGTCAATAAACCTTGTAAATCATTACATATAGAGCATGTTTGGTCGAGATTTTAATTTAATTAACATCAATTTTTTTATCGTTATTTTACTATTTCGATCGTCATTTTTAAATTTTTTTTCTTATAGATAAAACTTATTTTTTTTTAACGATCAAAAAATTAATTAACAGAATTATAGCACGTATATGTAACATGATTCCTTACGTAATTGTGCAGAAATCTCTGACTAAAAAAGATATTCAGTACATGTGTAGTCAATGTCAGTGTCAGCTTTATACAACCAAATACAACAGCAATTCTCATGGCTGACTCATCATATTTTAAATCAAACACAAATCATTATCATTCTTCCACGCGCTTGTCTTTTACACTCGCCATTTCGTATGTACACGTGTTTAATTAATTTACATATGAATGAAATTTGATAAAGGTTGAACCCCAAATCTTAAGAGTATCCCACTGTATTTATTTTGAAGTATCGTGAGGGAGGTAAATCGCAGGTTATGCATTCAAGGATATAGGGTGGAAGACTGCTTGTACAATTGCACTTATCCAAGAGCCAAGTCCATATTTCAGAATTCGAACCCTTGACGCAACAACCTCAAGTAAAGTTGAATTTCTCCACCCTCCTCTTTTACTACTTTGAGATGTGCCCTGGGGGCTATGAATGAAATTTCATGTTAATAAACAATGTTGGATTACTTATTAGTGTTATATTGAACACGTAAACTCAACATGATTGAATAGAACAATTAATTTTCTCTACATAGTTTTCTTCTTTCAAGGATGGATGGATAGGGAACGGGTAGGGGACAACCACCTCCGAAGCTTATTAAAACTTTTTACCAAAAGCAATGTATGCGGGTTTTCCTCTATGTGAGGGGTGTAATGTATTGTGTATGCAAGAAGTGTATATGTAGTATCACTCTATATATTAATTGTGGAATTATCACTTGATTTTTGTATTGAAAAAATTTTGAAGTCGATTTTTGAAAGAATAATACTATTTACAATTACTTATTATCATAGTTATCTTACTTTGCATACATATAACGGTTAGTGATTTGATGTATGGGATAAGAAAAAATTACTATATTAATACATCAAATCACAAATTATCATATAGAGCGATTAATATAATTAGCGATTATAAATAAAATTATTCTTTTTGAGAAGAAATCTTTAAAAAATCTGCCTCCATGTAATTTCCACTATATATAAAAATCTAACGGTCTCCATCAATTACATTAGGATCCTTAAAAATTAAATTCACATAATCAAACATGACATGCTTACTTTTTAGTACTTGTTTCGTAGGAATTTTATTAATTGATTTTTTTACCGATAAAGATAAAGTGAGTCCTACTTGTGAGAGAAGAATTCAAAAATGACAACTGTAATAGTAAAATAACGATAAAAAATTTGATATTAATTGGATTAAAATCTCTATCAAACATGCTCTTAAACTTCACAAATTACGGCCTCCGCCTCAAAAAAAATAAAATAAAATAAAAAAATCACCAGAGTCTTCTCTTCTCATTGGATCGGCTCCACCATTCTTCTCTTCTCATCAGCTTCACCACCATCTCCAATCCAACCACCAGATATTGGCATCTCAAGCCTGTACATAAAATCCTTTATTTTATCCAAGAAATGGGCTTGTGAAATTGTCATCAATGGATAATTGAGACGAAATATTTGCAGCTAAAATATGGGCAACGCTTCGAATTTTTTTTATTTTGAATCCCCTTTTCGATTTTTGTTTTTAACTCAATATAAGTTCAATTTGATGATTCACAATACTTGCTTCAAGTTCAATTTCTCCCTAATTTGATGTCTTGTTAATCTTTTATTAATATGTTTCGTTTTTTTATTGTTACTGTTTTTGACATTCATTTTTTTCCCCCTTTTTTCAAAAGAAAATATGATTGAACGTTGCTGGGAAGTGCAAGTACCAAAACTGACTGAGTTACAAGAAACCTTTTTCCTGTAAAAAAAAAAAAAAGGTTAAACCCTAACCTTAAGGGTCCCCCACCACCCTATCCTGGAGTATCGTGAGGGGGGTAAATCGCAGGTTATGCCTCCAAGGGTATAGGGTGGAAGGCTGCTTGTACACTTGCACTTACCCAAGAACCAAATCCATATTTCAGGATTCGAACCTTTGGCGCAGCAGCCTCAAGGAAAGCTAGATTTCTCCACCCTCCCCTTTTACCACTTGGAGATGTGCCTTGGGGGCACCTTTTCCCTGTAATGTCCCCTGAAGGAGGTTTATGGTTAGTTGTGGGAAGAATAAAAAGTTCTGCCAGTTTTCTCTGTAGGATCCAACACAGCCTTGCTACAAGGTTGAACCCCAACTTTAAGGGTTCCTACCGTCTTGCCTCTGGAGTATTATGAGGAAGGTAAATCATTGAATGTGCCTTAACAGGTCAATGAACAAGAACTTGCCCATACACTGGTACTCATAAAAAGTCCAATTTCATATCTTAGGAATTGAATTCTCACACTGCGACTGCCAGTAAGACTGAGACTACCTCACTTCTGCCCCTTTGCATCACTGTGTTATGCACCAAGAGACTCAACACAGCCTTGTTAAAAAAAAAAAAAAAAGGTTGAACCCCAACTTTAGGGGCCCCCACCGACCCTGCCCTAGGCCATCGTGGAGGAGGTAAATCGCAGGATGTGCCTCCCAGGAGCCAGGGTGGAGAGTATATGGATAGGCCAAGGCTGTTAACCCATATGGTAACTCCCGCTTGTAACAAAGCCAATTCCACCTTGCGGGGAATCGAACTCTGCACACTGTCGCGCTGAACCCTATCCGCCCTCCCCTTTGCCACTGGGAACTGAACACAGCCTTGTTAATTCATGTGGAAGGTAGTACACAGCAAAATTATGTTTGGATATGTGAGAATAATTTTTCAAGAACTTTAATGTAATTCATGGAGACGGTTCATGTATTTAAGGGTTTAGATTATTTTGTCTAAAATGTTTGTCAAATGTATTTGTAGATAGAACGCTTCCCATGTGTTAAGAGTTTTGCTAGTTTACTAGAAGAATATTAACGTCTTCTTTGCCATGTGCATAGGTGGATGAAAATAATTAGATGAAAATGATGATAATGTTTAAAATAGTTCAATAATAAAATATCACGTGACGTTCTGTCAATAAAGGTGACATTATAGCAGCATGATTGATGTGTTAGATAGCATTTCCTTACTCTTGTCTTGTGAGAATAGTTTCCCTATCACAAGTTCCAATGTGTCGGTGAAAATAATAAATGTGGATAAACCAGCGAAACACCTAATTGCCTAATTATGGTGACAAATTGGGTCACACGCCAACCCACGTCTTGAGCGGTTAAACTGGACTGGCTTGTTGGGAAAACTATTGTTCCATTTGAGTCAAGTGGGGTGGGCCTAATGTATTGATGGATTTTTTGAGAAATGAACGTGTGCTTAAAAATCATTTTTATTAATAATTTATTTCTTTGCAAGATAAATGAAAATAATTTAAATATGGGGAAAGAGAGTATATAAAAAAAATATAAAGAGCAATTTATTCAGTTTTGTTTTTGGTAAATGAATTCAGTGAATTTTAACAGCTCAATTGTGATGGTGATCCTTGCACTTACATATATAATGATCCTACAGATTTTTCATTTTTCTGCTTATAGTTTTCCCCTATACTATCCTATTTTCAAAAATATATTTATTTTAAACTGTCTTTAAGAATGAAATTGTTAAATAGAGAATATTATTGACTTGTTCAAATATGTTCTCAACGAGCTACTCATACATAAGCCACGTTTTTTTTAATCGAAAGTATGACAATATTTGCACGAGTTTATAAATATTGAAGAACAAATATAAATAAGTGGCGAATAGGTGAATCTAACGAAATATGTCCATAAAAAAAGTTTGATATTAGTCATAAATAAACACTCGCCGAACATTTTAAAAGTTTATGTTTGGCTCATTTTTATAAACACAAAAGGAACTTTTTTAGAGATCTACAAAAACTATACACTTATTTACCACTCATTTATATCTATTTATAGTTTAAAGTATTTTTAATTACTTCCTGAAATTACACTAGGAAAAGAGGGGACACAAAATTAACTTCCATTGGAGTGGCTCTAATGCAATTTTGCAATTCTCACTTGGGCAAAAATGGCAATTGCAATTGACTTCAAGTGGTAAGTAAGCATTTTTCTGCTAGACCAAGTACTCTTATTCCCTTCACACCGATCGAATGAGAGAAAGAAAGACAGAGATAGATAGATAGATAGATACTATAATACAGAGAGATGGCATTATGGAGAGAGTTTAAGGTCTGTTATTGTAAACCGGGTGAAAATGGTGGAGTACTGATTACCGCGCTGGATCTCTGAGTTTCCAACTGCACGAGGTGGCTTCTTGACTTTTTGCACATGCTCAAAGGCTCAGTCAAGAAACCGTTCAATCCCGACATGTCCCTCAAATCCACCAAAAATCCTGACAAAGTTTAAACTCAAAAGAAAACTCATTGCTTTACTCCAAAGCCATTTTGCAGCTTTTCACACAGAGAATAGAAAAGAGATTCTTGATTTCAGATATTGGGTTGAACCTTCAGATTTTGGTGTTCTCTTTGTTCTGAATGGGCGAACCCATCAACAATAATGCTTTCCGGTGAAGGAACTGTTCAAGAAATCCAGAACCGTCAGATTTTCGACCATTACTCTGCTACACAAAAAGCCGCTGAAACTGCTACTTTTTTTAACCCTAATTTCCATTTCACTAACAGTGCTACATCTCACCAACACCACCCATTTCATCATTCAGAATTCCCAACTAATAACACCCAGCTGACTAATCTTTATGACCCACGCGTTTATGGCAGCGCATCAGCTTCATCCTACTCAGCAGAGACTTCAATGCTCAATCTGGAACCGGATAGACCGAACGGGTTCATGATGGTGCCAAAGGGAGAAACTGTGGTTGGTGGGGTCGAGTTTAATTCTTGTGCAAGTAGAATTGGATTGAATTTGGGTGGTAGGACTTATTTTGCTTCGTCTGAGGATAACTTCGTGAACCGGTTCTACCGCCAGACCAGGACCGTCGAGCCTGGTCCGGTGAACTCACCTAAGTGCCAAGCTGAAGGATGCAGCTCTAACCTTAACCACGCCAAGCACTACCACCGCCGCCACAAGGTGTGTGAGTTCCACTCCAAGGCCTCCACGGTCTTCACCGCGGGGTTGACTCAGCGATTCTGCCAACAATGCAGCAGGTTTTTCTAGTTTTATTATTAAACGAATCTATAAGACCAAAACTCCCTCCCCCATGCAGCACATTCTGCATTTCAACATACTTTCTCAATTGGAAAATAACATTAACCAGGGTGAATGGTGAGTTATGAATTGACTAAATCACCCATTTGTGGTGTTTAACGAGCTTATATTGGTGGTGGGCTTACATGGGGTTATTCCGAGGGCATTGTTGTCCGTAAACTATGTTTCCCCAAAAGTTTCCTCCGTTATATGTTTTACGTACTGTTGGATTTTGCTGCTTATAGTAATTTACAGCTTCTTTCCTCCGTGTGATTTTGATTATTTTTCACTAATTGAATTAAATCGGCACTAGCAGATTCCATACACTCTCGGAATTCGATAACGGGAAGAGAAGCTGTCGGAAAAGGCTGGCCGACCATAACCGCCGGAGGCGAAAATCCCAGCAATCAAACCAAGAACTTACAAGTCCCACCTTGCTAGTGCCGGCCGCAATTCATCCTCTGAAAACCTAACAAGTAAATATTTATGTTTATCTTTCTTATTAACAATGTATTTTTTTCCGTCTTTTTGTAACCAATTAGGTCATTATTTGATACATAGTAAACATTTCATCTTGCTAGACAATACTCATGAAATTTTAGTTCTTCATTTTTGTTATTCAATACCGTCTAGTAGTGTCTTATTTAATGCATTAGTACATTGCCGGTTTGTTTGGTATGGTCTTGATTGTAACGAGTATGGCACGAGTCGGATTCAGGAATTCGAGTGAGCTAGGGTGAATCCAGGCGAGCAACCGCTCGAACAACTGTCCAAACTCCAATATATGGAAAAAAATTATCTATCTGGCTGAGCCAGCATGGACAGCTGCCATTGCTCATCGGGTGCTGGCGTTGCTCCTAATTATAGCGTACCAAACATTTTACGCATGCATTTAGCTAAAAAACAAATGTGGAATATGATTTTTGGGGGTTTTGCAGGGTCTCCACTGAACTCCGATTTCAACACCAAGAAGAATATCACTGGATTGTTTTAGGCAAAGACAGGGTGCCACCACAATTTCTTCAACGGCATCAACAAGCTCACTCTTTTTTACCAACGGATGACTTCTTATCATAAAAACATCTGAAGATTTTGCCAATTTAGCACTGAGTTAGCTTTGTAATAATATTGGTTTTAACCCTGCAGTTTTTTATTTCAATGTTAATTTCCTCGAAAAGTCGATCAAATATGATCTGGGGAATTGGATTCCTATACCATTTCCACCATTTGCATTATTTTCTTGTAAAACATGGGGTGAGTTGGGGTTAAAAATTAGGATAATTAACCTCATTGCAGCAGTAAATTTCCAAGTTCGGCTAAGCGAAGCAAGTAAAAGTTACACACTTTGTTTTCAAACATTTTTGGACATTTCAAATAAGTAATGTTTCAATACAATCATGGAATCGACTTGATCATCCCTCTATAGGCCTCTTAAAGGCAAAACCGAAGGAAGCTATGTTCCTAGCACCAAACAAGCCAAACTAAACCGATCAAAGTCATCAAGGAATGACAGTGGCGGAAGGAAAGGAAGCCATACATCTCTTGATTTTTTATTCTATTCTCTCAGTCTTTCTGGGATCAATATTGCTTTATGCATGGTCAAAAACACACCTAAAGCGCATGTATTCGGCTTGCAGCCAATACAACCACAGTCTAATTTGCACGAAATTCAACAACCAAAGCTACTGGTCATCATGAAAGTGAATTATATCAGATGAATGTTATCTTTCAAAAGAAATGATGTAATTTGTCCACCTATATTCATAGCATGACGAACATGGGGATTAAAAATTCACGAAGGATGATATTGAAATCTATAATCAATCATTTCTATTTTAATCAAAACATATTCACTTATAATTTTTTTATAACAAAAGTTGATTGTTAAAAGACCCAATTTACATTAAAATTACGAACGTGTACTCTCTATCAAGTCATGTTCTTGGATGGTTGAAGAAAAGGCCAATAAGTAAAAGCTGTCTCTTGAATGGAGGCTTGAGGGGGGCCATCACCATTGATGACGAATACCAAAATAGTCAAACAATCGTTGTTGAGTCATTTTTCATAAGTTTTACTGTTCATAGTCATGTGAAGGAAGATGCTTCATAGGTCCCACATTAATTTGTGGCTACTTGGCATAAAATTAGTTATACTACGTGTATAGAAAAAAATTAACAGATTTTTTTTTGGAATATAGTGGTATTAATGAAACCAGATTATCGCATAACGTATATATAGTTTACATTTTAAGCATATCATATATGCAGCTTACCATATTTGCAGGCAACTTATCGTATTTGCGCCTTATCGTATTTACAACTTACCGTATTTGACAGCTCACAGTATATGGCAGCTCACTGTATCTGACAGCGAAGCTTACTATATATGCATAAAATTAGCACAAACTATTTTTATTAAAATAACACAGATTTTTTTTCCTCAATAGAAATACCATGTTACATATACCGAATTGCATTTACCAACTGTTAGCAAAAAGATTCATATATATATATATATACAAGTAAATTGCAAAATATATGAATCTAGTAAATTGTAAACGTGTAAATTGCTAAATAAATAAATAATTTGCAAAAATAAATTGCAAACATGTAAATTACAGAAGATAAATAAATTTTCAACCCGAGGCTTGTACGAGCACAGTTTCCTTAAAACAGATTCGCCCTCTCATCGTAAGTACTTGAGGTCTAATCCAAGCGTTTGTTTCCCAGAATACAACGGTAAAATCCGTAGAATCTGAACACCACAAAAACTATTCCGACGAACTGAGTTTGTATTCGAACAACATCACCACCACGACTAGAGATGGAAACAGAGATTATGCATATGCAGACAGAACAAAAGTATTATCTGGTGCGAGACAAAGAGATTTTTTTTTCGTTTGTATGAATTGCTGGAAAATTGAGATTTAATATAACATAAATCTGTCCAAAAACTCCATGGCAATAAACACTGAAACCATTTCAGTTTCTGCTGGAGTTTTGGTAGTTTTTGGAAACTCAAGGGTCGGTTGAAGAAATCAAAAAAATTGAAAAACGTGGACACTCCAAACGGGCCAAATTTTGCTCCGTTCGATCCGACATTCGTGTACGCAGATCACGTCGCACACAAGTTCAAGGTCCGAAAGCAATTTCGGTCAATGATTTGCACCCCCCTACACGCGCACGTGGAGAAAGTTTCATTCTACACATGATTACACCATTTCAATGTGCAATCCTATATAAAGTGGTTAATATTTTCTTCATTTTCCTATGTGGAACTAGTTTTTTTCCACATAAACCATCTTCCAATGGTTATCTTTGAACTCCAATTTCTCATTCATCCATTCATCAATTTTGGCAAATAAATATATGGTTTCGATACTTTCACGGAGGAGAACAAGGATCAACTTAGATATTCCAATTTGGACCAACGGGTCCCACCGAAAATCTTGCCAAAAGTGAGTTATTTACTCTTTTTTTCCAACAATTTTTACAAAAGAACACTTAATAATTTTTCATTGGTTTTCAATCCAATAATGGCAAAAAGTGCACCAACACAACACCTATAGGGTTTATGTGAGTAAACGCTGGGAATTATTCATATAAAATAATTATGCTTGGTGTACAAGTTTTCTTGCTAGAATCATATGGGAGGGATGCGTTGCCTTGTCATTGGGCAATGGCAAAAAAAGAAAAAGAAAAAATAAA